ATGGGGGTAGTTTAAAGTTTTTTTATTTTTTTACAAAAAAATTTTCCTAAGAAAATTTTTATAAGATTACATTTCCTACAATTTTTCCCAATCAACTTTTTTTGTAACTCACCCCCATTCAGCGGGGGGACACTTCCCTTAGGGAAATTTAAGTTTTTAGGGGTATATATTAATTTTTTTTTTCTTTTCTCGCCTTTAGTGCATATTAAAAGGTGGAATTAACATTGTGTTAAAAGGATTTTTTTTCCACCATCTTTTTGTTTTTAGGGGTAGTTCGCCTATTTTCAACTTTACAAAAAAAAATTATAGAGAAAAGTTGTTCAAAATAATAAAATGAACAAGTTTTCTCAATAATTTTTTTTGGTAAAGTTGAAAATAGGCGAACTACCCCTAAAAACAAAAAGGTGGTGGAAAAAAAATCATTTCAATACAATGTTAATTACAACTTTTTATATGCATTAAAGGCGAGAAAAGAAAAAAAAAATTAATATATATGCCCCTAAAAACTAAAATTTCCCCGAGGGAAGGGTCCCCCCGCTGAATGGGGGTGAGTTACAGAAAAAGTTGATTAGGAAAAATTGTAGGAAATGTCATCTTATAAAACTTTTATCAAGAAATTTTTTTTGTAAAATAATAAAAAAAATTTAAACTACCCCTATTGAAAAACGGCAGGGGGTGAGTAAAAACTTCATGAAGCAAAAATGTTGTATGTGTTGTAGAAATTTTTTTCACGTTGATTAAAATTTTTCATTTTCATTATAAAATTTCAAACGGCCCTTCTGACCACAGACGGCCCTTAATCAAAAAAATATTGAGATAAACATTGTAGATCGAATAATGTTGCACATCTTTTATTTGAAACATTTTTTTGTAAAATCAATAGGTACCAAGTAATCGCCAATGGCGCACTTTCAACCCCTATAGCGCAAAACGCCAGAGGGGTGAATGTTTGATATTTTCGGTTTTATGATCACCCACCCTCCCCCTATCATCCCTGAAAAGTTCTTTTGGGTAGGATTTTTTTTTTCAAAATCGACAATTTTCCTAGACTATTAGGTTTTTTCTTGTTTTAACTAACTTAGGCTAATCAAAGGAAAAATTCCTAAATGCTTTGCTGATTTGCTGAATTCTGGTCAAGGGGCAAACTACCTAGGAATTCTCTGCCATAACTGTGAAGAATTTGTAGAATTTGGTGGAATTTTTGAGGAATTTACGGGAAATTGAGGGAATTTATTGGTTTTAACACTGGGTGTAATAAAAATAGAAAAATACATTTCTTATCACGAACAGTTTTTGAAATTTCCAGGGAATTTGTAACAGGCATTTGCCGGAAATTTGCGAGTAATTTGCACGGAGTTTGGAGGAATTTGTGAGGTATTTGGAGGAATTTGCGGATAGTTTGAGTTTGGGATTGTAGTCCTCTACTTAAATAAGAATCGCTGAAAATTTCAGCTTTCTATCTATAATAGAAAAAAAGTTATGACCTTCCAAAGTTTTCCAAAATCTAAATCATAACGTAGTAGGTACTAGTGTGGTGTTTTTATGGTGTAATAGTATATTATATAATAAGTGTGGTAACTAGGTTATTACCGCACGCGAGAGAAATTTGCAAACCGAGCCGTTGAGGCGAGGTTTGCAATCTCTAAGGGCGGTAATAACCTATTTACCATACGTATTATATACAGTATTTTATCTACAAGCGTGCGGTAACAAAATATCCGAAAGAAATTTAAAAAATTATACAAAAAAAATTGCGTCTGTCACCTTTGACAGCGGACAAGTAGAATTTAGGTGATAGGTAGGTAATTAATCTCTGGTAGGTAATTAAAGGTACGTACCTATGTAGGTAGAGAGTGCGGTAATAATATTACCGCACGCCGTGCGGTAATGTGGTACTTACCGCACTCGAAATCGTGTAATATACCTAAGTTAATGCACGCTTGTAGATAAATAATTTTTCCTACTCAGGTGCGGTAAAGTACACTTTACCGCACTCATTTGCGTGCCGTAGGGAGTACTTTACCGCACTCAGTGCTGTAAAAATTCTTTACCGCACTCTTTCAATAATACGTTTGTAATTGTTCATATTCTTCATTGTATCGGTCCTTGAATTTTTGTGGAATCAAAGAGCCGACTGCTGCATTTCCTGCTTTGAATATTTCTTCATTGAAGTTCTCCATTTCTCAAGAATTTATTTTATACCCTAAAAATGGAAAATTTGAATCACAAAACACGAATCTATCTGAACTTCCTATGTGGTATCTTTAGACGCCATCTAAAATATTGATTCGCTGCCATAGGAAAAACAAAATGCAACGCAGCAAATTTTGACAAAAAATGCCACCGATACCAGAGATTTAACCAAATTCTTGTCATATTAATTTTGACATGAAAATTATTGATCAGCCACCACTTGCAATTTATTTTTACCTTGATTTCCAATACCTTTTTTCTCAGTGCGGTAAAGATTCTTTACCGCACTGTATAAAAATTTAGAATAAACATACAAGTAATGTAATGGCTTCGCGTAATGCATTAAATAGAAATATTTATTGTTTTCAACAATCAATGTTTGCTTGTTTTTATGCATTTTTTCTTCCAATTAGATTTTTATTCCAAAAACTAACACGTGCAAAAAGTGACTTTACCGCACTCGGCTTGCCCGAACTCCGCTTCGCGTCGTTCGTGCAACTGCGGTAAAGGTCCACTTTCCGCACTTGTTAAGTAAATAACTAAAAACGTGAAGGAATGTCATACAAACAGATTTCCTAGAAAGTTTTAACTTTTCAAGGCTGATAAGGTTAAACGGGACAATTATTGAAATTTGCAACAAAACCATTTTGTAGACATTTTAATCTTCTATGGAATAAGATATGATTTATTGAAATAGGTCCAGGGTTTCCAGAGTTACAGCTCAGTTAATGGGGCCATATCGGGCTGGAAATATGCCCATTGATTTTGGAATTTTCTCTGGAACTTTTTCCGGGTTTAGGAGGCCTCAAACGAGAAAATGTCAAGAGGGATTTTCGCTTTATTTGGGCCCCCTCTAATCTAAATATTTTTTCGAACTTTTGAAATTTAATTTTCCCTAATTTAGTTGGTTTTCCAGAATTTTTCCTGGAATGATATTTGACTGGAAAATTTTGGAATTTTGCTATAATGAGCTCCTGAATTTTTTGTTTCCCTCCAGAAAATTTCATAATTTTCCTTTGGATAGTTTTCCAGAAATCCCCTTCTTCTGTGGGGGGGGGGTATACCCCTCGATTCTGGTATATCCTTTAGCTATATTAAAGAGTAAAAATAAATCTAGAGGTGAAATTAGACCAGATCACTTGCTTAAAACTGGTGGCACTCTACCATCAATACCAATATTCGCTGGCCTATCTGCATTAGGCGCATTAAGGGGAGGAGCTACTGGGAAAGGTGATTTTTTTTTTTGGAAATGTTTCGGTGGATAATTATGTTTTTTACCACTAACCTGAGAAGTAGTCATTATTCAATCTATTTTTCTGGGAAAAAATTGAATTTCTCTCCCTAGGTTGATAATGAAAATAATGAAAAAATACCTAGATCAATAATAAAAATGACGTCATGACGCAAGGATATTGTCATAACGTAACAGTTTTCTATTGGTTTAATTTCAATTTCAAACTGTCAACTTTACAAAAAAGCAGATTCCTATATGAACATTATAGGAAATTACCATAAGCTGTTGATAGAGGGCAGCACTTCCGACAAAAAAAAAATAATTTAAGCACAGATTTCAAACCTATTTTTCATTTTCTACTAGCAGTAGTAAAAAAAATTCTATATATTCCTCGGTAGAGAACATAGACCTTACGCATTATAATGACCAACCTACCAACCTGAGTATTTGCTGGCCTATCTGCATTAGGCGCATTAAGGGGAGGAGCTGCTGAGAAAGGCGATTTTTTTTGGAAATGTTTCGGTGGATAATTACCTCTGTTTTTTTACCACTAACCTGAGAAGTAAGTAGTCATTATTCAATCTATTTTTCTCGGAAAAAATTGAATTTCTCTCCCTAGATTAATAATGAAAATAATGAAAATGAAAACCCTAGGTCAATAATGAAAATGACGTCAAGACGCAAGGATATTTTCATAACGTTACAGGTTTCTATTGGTTTAATTTCAATTTTAAACTGTCAATTTAAAAAAAAAAAAAAAAACAGGTTCCTGTATGTACCATAGGAAATTACAGCAGCACTTCCGACAAGAAAAAATAATTTGAGCACAGATTTCAAACCTATTTTTTATTTTCTACTATAGCAGTAGTAAAAAAAATTCTATATATTCCTCGGTAGAGAAAGTCATTATATGTATACCTTACGCATTATAAATGTATAAAACCTCGGCGCTTTACGCCTCGGTTTATAAAAACGCTCGGTATATAATGACCAACTTCTCTACCTAGGTATATAATTTACTATTTTTTCTAAAGGTTTTTTTCCAAAATACTCACTCTTGTTCTTAAATGATTGGGGTACCTTTAGGGAGGCAATTTTAATGTTGTACAAGGACCGAAAATGAGAAATATTGGAAATATATTTGCAAATAAAAGCTCGTTAAGGATCAGAAATGATAACTTCATCCTTTTTTCAATTTTTCCACTGCTCAAATTCCAGCTGATTTGGGAAGTTTGGCAAAGTCAAAAAGGTAAATTCAAAGACACATGAGACTAATCTAAGATTATGTCTTAGATCTGCAAGTCATTGTTTTGAACTTGATTGATACGCTAAAGGTCTGTTCTCACAACAGTCACTGACAGTTTTCAAACCGTCAGAAGCAATTGTTCAACTGAGTACCGATTTATCTTAGGAAAAACAACATTGAAAACATCTGGCAGTTTGCAAACTCTTGTGAAAACAAACCCTACGAGTATTCGAATATAGCCAATTTGTGTTTTCATTCCATTACTTGAAATTAATGCCTGTTATATACTACATTTTTCAATGCAATTATTATTATTTTCTATTTCAGTATCTCTCCAGACTGTTCATTTGGAGATATGGTCGAGAAACCGGTACAACTGTTCATGTTCTGCGCCGTTTACGGACCGACATCGTTAGTCCTACTAGTCTGTTACGGATACATTTACTTCGTGGCCCGAGGCCACGCCAGAGCGATCAGGTCCGAGCAAAAACAATCAGTTTACAGACACCAGCATTACAATACCGGAACAGTGGGACCGCCAAGATACGGACTCGCTCTCGCCATTACCACAGGACTTTTTGTTGGTCTATGGATGCCATTTCAGGTGAGAATACATTGAATTGTGTATCATACATTCTTGAATTATACAAAAATAATGTCAGCTGTTGAATGCCTAAAACAATCTTCTAATTATTTTGTCTGACAAAAATAACCTAAGATTTGCCCACCTTTTTCTTTGCTTGAAATCGGATGATTTAATTTATCAAGTTAAAGAGAATAAAATCGACGATACAAGAATACACGTGCCTATAACACGTGCGCCCTCCAAGAAAGATGAATAATGAAATAGTCTGTCGATAGAAAAGAAATGTAAGTAAATGGGTAAAGGACGCTTTCGTTCCGTTGCAAGGTCGGGGAAATTATCGGTAATTTAACTATGAGTTGATTGATAGAATAAAATATCGATTTGGTTGATTCAATTTATTAGCCAATTATTATTTTCATGCAACCATATTTTGTCTCCAAAACTTATATAGTATGAAACCCAATTTACTTTAACTATTAATTTTATGAAACTACGTTTCAATTAAGTGCGGGTTTAATCAAATAGTAAAACCCGTTGCGTACCTACAGACGATTACTACTCGAGTTCAAATGTCTAGGTTATCGACACCCTTAAATATTTTTTGTCAATTTTCGATAAAATAATAATAAAACGTACGAATGGAGTTTCTTTGCTTGTTTATTTGTTCTCTTGCTAGAAATTATTTGTAGCTTTGAGCGAAAAGTAAATAGAAAAACACCATTTGTACAATCTGTTTAAACTAGCTTGGGGGTTGAGGCAACTTTTACAATACTTTGAGAAAAGGGCACATATTGCAAAAGTTAGTACAAAACAGTATTGCGAAAACCAAAAATTATTTTCTCTATTTCTTAGGCGTTAAAATTTTTAATGCCGACTTGGAAAAACTTTCATAATTCCATAATTTGTGGGCTATCTGCATTGAGCCTGTTAAGTGGAGAGGCTGCTGGGAAAGGTCATTTTTTGGCTGGAAAATTATACTTTTTCTAAAGAAATCCAAAGATCCTGAACACTTAGAAGAGGCTTATGAGTTGTTAAAACCGAAAAACTTCAAAGACTCGTCCAATTTAAAGCCTGAAATTTCTGAATATTCTACAGAGTCAGTGTTTCAAAGAATCTGAAGCTTTTGAATTAAAACTTGGGACTATCCAAAATCTAAAAATTTTGAAGATTTAAAAAATGCCGTCTACTCCGGGTAACTTGAACGGTTGAAATCAGTCGATCGCCCAAGCCAGCCACTGCGGAGTGCAAAGGTTCTTGGCAACCTCCCAGTTTTCTTGCCTGGTTTTTCTATGCCGTTCTTTATTTTCTTAAGTACCATTGGGTATACTTCCTGGAAAATAGGTTTCCAGTAGTAGAGCAGCTCGTTGCTCTTCATTTTCTGTATAACTGCCGTCTGGTTTCTTAAGTGTCACTGGTCCTTGCGCCCTGCCTTTTGCCAGGGTTTTGTATAGTCTGGCTGCTGATGGTGTTTCTGTGATAGATTCACAGAAGTTCTGGAAGTTTTTCCGTTTGGCCTACCTTAATTCTCTGTTGTACTCAGTCAGCCTTTCGGTGTAGCCCTGCCATTCTCCGTCCCGTTTGGCTCTGGTAAAGAGACAGCGAACCTCGGATCTAACTCGTGACAGGTGACTATTCCACCATGGGCAACCTTTTTTGTTTACTTGTTCCTTCACAGGACAACTGGATTCGTATGCCTCCATGATTGCTCCTGAATGGTTTCTTCTACTTCACGTGTGTTCCTGCAGCTAACGTTATTTTGTTTGAGGTTGCGTTGCAGTTTGCTTGTGTATTCTTCCCAGTTTGTGTTTCTGGGGTTTCTATACGAGGCAGTTCGTTCCTGCGCTACTTCTACTTCAAATATTATGATTCTATGATCAGAGAGAGAGGGTTTATCCGAGACTCTCCAATTCCTGATAATTTGGTCAATATTTGGACTACAAAGTGTTATGTCTAACACCTCCTGTCTGACCCTAGTAACAAATGTTGATGTATTCCCTACATTAAGTATATTTAGATTTGTTTGAAAGATAAATTCTAACAGTTGCTCACCTCTTAGGTTTGTGTCGGTACTTCTCCAGATAGTGTTGTGGGCGTTGGCGTTACAGCCAATTAGGAGCGGTAGTTTGTTCCTGTTGTACTCGACTAGTCTCTGTACTTCTTCTGGTGGTGCTTGCCCATCTCCAGCGAAGTAGCCTGATGCCAGTACTAGGTCTAATTATCAGTACTAATATAAGTAGAATTACTTAATTAGACAGACAGGACTAGGCTACTAGACACATAGACTTGAATGGGACGAGTTGACAGATACCCATTTCACGCTGGATTGTTGATCGTCTCTGCAAGTTCTTTCATATTATTGAAATTCATGCATCTTCGGCTTCGCCGCAAGTGCTGCAGGAAGAAAAGCGCCGCAGCCGCTAAATTTTTGGGTCTTTTCACGGTATTTTTGGGACTAATCATGGGGGCAAACGGAAATGCGACTATTTCAATAAATTGTGATGGGAATTTATAGTGGAACGTTACTTATATTATAATGTATGTATTTGATTATTTTCCATTTTGAATTATTAATAAAATTTAAAGGCCTTTGGGTTACGGGGGCATAATATACAGTAAGGGGCAGGCTACTAGGTATATAGGATCCAACTTGACGAATTTACCACCGTCCGCAGCCGTTTGAACCCCTGTCATTGTCGTTCATTCAACAACTTTGACGTTTGTTTACTTCAGTACGATTTAGATACAGACTTAAGCACAGTTCAGACGCTACGGTTCAGCTTACTGATCAAAACGTTTTGTCTGCAACGTGTTTAACCTTAGAGCAGGCAATTTCCTAGGTGGGAGGAGTAGGAACATAAAGTTGGAAATACGGACAACGTAACGCAACGAGACCACCGTATTCACTATCTATCCTGCGTTAGATACCTACGTTTGAAATTCAGGACCTGCTTAAAGTGTCAACTTGCTTATCCTGAATTTTTATATGTATCCATCTCCGCATCGATCTGCGCACGCGCAGAATAAATACGGTGGTTTCGTAGTCCGCATAGTTAAGGGCCAAGGGCCCAATTACAGTATATTTGTATCTGCAAATTTGCAGTTCTGCAAATATGGCCGACTTGCAGATGTGCTCCATTTGCAGGAACGAGCAAATTACAGAAAAAAACCTGCAAGTCCGTCATATCTGTCAAAAAAGTGTTTGGGCGCTACTGATTTACCAGTTTGAAATGTCAAAGTTGTCAAAGTAACTGCAAGAACTTACGGGGACGTTTTGCTATGCGCAAATTTGCAGGCGACTTGCAAATGCATTCTGCTTCTGTAGTACAAAAAGTCAGACTTGCAGGTCCTGCATTTGTATCTTGCTGTTGCAGAGCTTCTGTAATTCAGCACCTAGTCTCGTATCCGAAAACGTATCTCAGCCATTGTGTCTTTAGCTTTAGTTTTTTGAGTGACAAGTCTTTTCACGTTTTGTTTTTACCTGGTTGTCATGAGTTAGGGGTCATTCACATCCACTTAACTTAACTTAAGGTACGGAAAATTATAACTAACGTACGAAACTGAGAAGGTGTCTGTTAACAATGAAGTAAATTATCTTACATGACGTATGCGCACTTATAACCTGAACTGTCAAGTCAAATTATATGCACAGAAATGGAAATTATTATTTATTGCACGGATTTTCTTAAGTTGGTTCAACTTTTCGTGTGTCACGTTAATTTTCTTAATTTTTAAGTGGATGTAACAACTATGTGATCTTCAATTTTTTTTTATTATTAATTTTCCGTACGTCAAGTTAAGTTAAGTGGATGTAAATGACCCTTTAGCACTAAATATATTTGTCATTTTGCCACATGCGGACGCTTGCAAATTCGTCAAGTTATATCCTATATACCTAGTAGCCTGCCCCTCACTGTATACAGGTTTGACAGGTTAACAACAGGCCAATTTCAATGCAATAGAATGAAAAACTCTAAGGTTGAATAGAGAACGAAAGATGACGATTTCCCCTGTTCCACCTCCAGCATTCCCAGCGCTCTTTCGCCACCTTGTTGTTGGCAAACCACATCTCGCTCTAAAATCTAATACTTTTTTCCCTTGTATAATGAATAACTATTATTAATGGGATGTTCAATCTTTGGGTGTTAAAGTTGCTCGATATAGAATATCATCCAAAACTCTTTGAAATGTAGCCGGCGCATTCTTGAAACCAAAGCGCATGCCCAAGAATTCATAATGCCCGTTTTCTGTGCTGAATGTGGTTTTTTCGATGTCGTTTTCATGCATCTGGATCTGGTGGAAGCCGCTAGCTGAATCTAAGGTGGTGAAATACTGGCAGCGTCCCAGCTTGTTCAAGAGATAATGGGTATCTGTCGTCTAAGCTTTTTGTATTAAGGCCCCTAAAATTTACTATACTATACATAATAAACAAAAAAATATTCAACTGTTTGTCAAAGTCGGTATAGGAAAAGCTACCTCAATGAGCAAAAGCAACAAAAACATAAAACACACAGGTTTGATATAAAAATAAATAGTTCGGAATGTTAGGATCGAGAACTCAATATTTTTGTACCTAGTCACTACATCCACTACATACAATGTCAAAATCACTATGATTTTCTTGAAGCTTTTGGAAAGAAACTTCAAAAATTTCAAAAAACTGAAACTAAACCCAGACATTCTAAATGATTTCCAGGTTCCGGTTATGAGCTTGAAATTTGAACAAAATTGACTCAAAAATCTCAGAACATCCACACTTTCTAGTTCTGAGAAAAAATCTTGCTGAATTCGACTTGAAAGATTTTAAAATTCACATTTTCTAGTTCTAAGAACGAATCGTTGTTGAAACTAAACTCAGACCTTCTAAATGATTTCCAGGTTGTGATTCTGAACTTGAAATTTAAACAAAATTGACTTGAAAGTCTCAGAACATCCACACTTTCTAGCTCTGAGAAAGAATCTTGCTGAAATCGAATAGAAAGACTAAAACATACATTTTCTAGTTCTGAGAACAAATAGTTGTTGAAACTAAACACAAACATTCTAAATGATTTATGATTTCCAGGTTTCGATTATATGAACTTGAAATTTGAATAAAAGTCTCAGAACATCCTCACTCTCTTGCTGAAATCAACTTGAAGAGACTGTAAAATTTACATTTTTGTTGGGCTATCTGCCCAGTAGAGAAGCTGCTGGAAAATGTCATTTTTTTTTTTTTAGAATTTCATGGCTGATCAACCAAACTACATTCAATCTTTTCTCTTGTTACAGATCTGCATGCTCCTAGATGTATTTTTCGAAACGAAAATCCTAACTTCCTGGATATCAATCTACCTAGCTCTTCCAATCCTATCCAGCAGCGCAATCAATCCATGGATCTACGGTTACCGAAATGCTGAGCTTAGAGCTGGCATTAGAAAAGTCGTAGACGACATTCTATCGACTCTAGGATTTACATATCGCAGCCATCAAATATCGGATCGCGACCAGATGGCTCCCAGCGTTGCAGCTACCGCTGGCGAACCAGCAACTTTTATAAATCACGTACAAAGAGACGGAATTTGTTGGAAATCTGAAGGTGAATTTTTGCTGGTACCCATAGCGAGGCCAGAAAGTTCCGGAGTGCTTTCTAGTGCCGAAAGTCATCAGAAAATATTTTGTAGTAATCCTAAGATTATTTTGCCGTGCGAAACTCCTAGACTGATGTTGAAAAATAGTAAAAGCATGGTAGAAAGTTTGGCAATGATTAGGGGTTCTGATGTTTTGATTGTTAAAGGAAGTCATTTTATGAAACACGGATCCAGTGTTTTATAAATGTATTTTAGAAATATATTTTTGAAACTTGATCAGATCATTGCCAAAAAGTTACTTATATAGATAGGACGGGATCAATTGTTAGAATAGATTTAAAAAACAAAGAGTATATTATATTAGTACGGTTCTAAGAATCTTAAAAAGATATTTTTTAATGTGCCATTATGATGTAAAAAAGACGTATTATATTTTAATTTAAAAAAAAAAGACATTAAATCAAAACAATTTTTATCAGTATTAATTATTATATCAAAGACGGTTATATATATATGTTTTTATAAATAAAATCTTGTTTCATTGGTCGAATTCGATGCTCCACTTTTCCTTTATCATCATGTCGGTATCAAAAATTAATGGAATTGACCCATTTTACACGCCATATCGTGCTTTATCATACTAATTTATGTATAATCCAGATGATATAGAGGAACCAGACCCTGACCGAATTCGAAACTCGACTTTGGAACAGACAGCGGGGAGCGGATGAAAAAGCCAAATAGTGTTTTGATCCTGCGGGAATCTGGTAATCTGTCGGAAAGAGTTTGGGGGATCAATCATAATTATTTGTTAGATGAAGTTGAGTTTTAAGTTTTTTTCAAGGCAAAGTATGTAGGTACATATATTTTTTCCAATTCTGATCTTTGAAATGTTTTCCATAATCGTTGATAATAACCATCGATCACCTCAGAAAAAAATTTATTCTAGTCTCTGAAGAGCCTCCTGCGAACTGTTTTTTTTCTTCTAAGATGCCTGCAAAGTCCAGAATTGTAGAATTGGAAATTCTAGCCTTTTAGGATATGCCAAAGAAAAAGGTCAAAGATTCCCAGTAAACATATCTGTAACATTTACGTAAAATTTATATGAATTTGACATCATTTCATATCAAGTAAATGTAAATATTATGTAAACTAAAGGTTTGTTTATATGTAATCCTTCCAAAATTTGAAGTTCCAACTTTGAGACTCAAAATCTCGAAAGCTATTTGGGGTAAATGATTCAATTTTATTTTATCTTAAATTCTGATTGAGAAGATGTGAATATGCATCAATATTTGTAAAATATTAATTGGGTTATGGGGGCTTTTGTGAGGAAATGTTGGACTATCAACATTTTTTTAGAGCAAAAAAAGCAAACATTGCTTTTAATTTTTTACAGGCTCTGAAACCTCAAAAAGAAAAATCACGGAAGTGCTTTTCTACTAAATTTGACCTCCTCTTTTCATTTGAAGTCAAAAATTGGAAAAATTAGAAAAATCAAAATTGAAATTTTTCTAAGGAAATTTCATTGTCAAATGTTTCAAAGACATATTTTGGAAACCAGAAAAGTTATCGACACGAAACTTGATATAATTGTAGATCTCGATTGGGGCTTCAAAAAAGGTTATTTGGGGCACTGAGCTCTAGGGCTTCGTTTTTGAAATAATCGGCTTTGAAGACTTTCCAAAATTTTAGACAAAGTTTCAACTTTGAGGCTCAACATCCCAAAAACTGTTTGAGATAAATGATTCAATCTTGTTTTATCTTAAAGAGCGTTTAATTCTAATTAGGAATATCTAAATATGCATCGAAATTTCAAAAATATTATTTGAGTTATGGGTGATTTTGTTAGGCAATGTCGGACTATCAAAGTTTTTTCAAGGCAAAAAAATACAAAAATCACTTCTAATTTTTTACAGGCTCTAAAACCTCGAAAAGGGAAATTACGGTAATGCTTTTTCACTAAATTTAATCCCTTCTTCTTATTGGTAAAATGAAAAATTGAAATAATTGGAAAAATCAAAATTGAAATTTTTCTAAGGGGTATGCAAGGAAATTTCATTTTGAAGTATTCCAAAGGGCGATAGTTCAGAAACCAGTGAAGTTATCGGTACGAAATTTTTTCTAGTTGTAGATCTCGATTAGGGCTTTAAAAAAGGTTATTTGGGATACCGAGCCCTAGGGCTTCGTTTTTGAGATAATCGGCTTTAAAGGTTTTCCAAAATTTTAAACAAAGTTTCAACTTTGAGGCTCAACATCCCAAAAACTGTTTGAGATAAATGATTGAATCTTATTTTATCTTAAAGAGCATTTCATTCTGATTAGGAATATGTGAATATGCATCGAAATTTCAAAAATATTAATTGAGTTATGGGTGATTTTGTTAGGCAATGTCGGACTATCAAAGTTTTTTCAGGGCAAAAAAATACAAAAATCACTTTTAATTTTTTAGAGGCTCTAAAACCTCGGAAAGGGAAATCACGGTAATGCCTTTTCACTAAATTTAGTCCCCTCTTTTCATTGGTAAAATGAAAAATTGAAAAAATTGGAAAAATCAAAATTGAAATTTTTCTAAGGTTATGCAAGGAAATTTCATTTTGAAGTATTTCAAAGGGCGATAGTTTAGAAACCAGAAAAGTTATCGGCACGAAATTTTGTGTAGTTGTAGATCTCGATTAGGGCTTTAAAAAAGGTTATTTGGGATACCGAGCCCTAGGGCTTCGTTTTTGAGATAATCGGCTTTAAAGGTTTTCCAAAATTTTAGACAAAGTTTCAACTTTGAGGCTCAACATCCCAAAAACTGTTTGAGATAAATGATTGACTCTTATTTTATCTTAAAGAGCATTTAATTCTGATTAAGAATATGTAAATATGCATCGAAATTTCAAAAATATTAATTGAGTTATGGGTGATTTTGTTAGGCAATGTCGGACTATCAAAGTTTTTTCAGGGCAAAAAAATACAAAAATCACATTTAATTTTTTAGAGGCTCTAAAACCTTGGAAAGGGAAATCACGGTAATGCCTTTTCACTAAATTTAGTCCCCTCTTTTCATTGGTAAAATCGAAAATTGAAAAAATTGGAAAAATCAAAATTGAAATTTTTCTAAGGGGTACGTATGCAAGGAAATTTAATTTTGAAGTATTTCAAAGGGCGATAGTTAGGAAACCAGAAAAGTTATCGGTACGAAATTTTTTCCAGTTGTAGATCTCCATTAGGGCTTTAAAAAAGGTTATTTGGGACACCGAGCCCTAGGGCTTCGTTTTTGAGATAATCGGCTTTAAAGGTTTTCCAAAATTTTAAAGAAAGTTTCAACTTTGAGGCTCAACATCCCAAAAACTATTTGAGATAAATGATTCAATCTTGTTTTATATCGAAGAGCAATAATATTATGTGAATATGCATCAGAATTTGTAGAATATCAATTGAGTCATGACTGATTTTGTGAGGCAATATCGAATGAAATTGTTTCAGGGCCAGAAATGCAAAACTTTGTTACATAATAATGGTATTCATCTACTCGAGCATATAACATTATGCGTTACATTTAAGTCAAATTTTACCTTATTGTGACTTAAAAAAACTATATAATTAGGTAGTTTTGTTTTGGTTTGTACTTTGACTCTATGTAGCTGTGGTGTTTACTGGGTTATTAAGAAATTCCTTTTTATCTGATCTGAGCAACATTGAAATAATTTGAATCGATAATTTTGAGACAATCTAACCAACATCCAGTGGCAACATTGCAAAAATTAGAATCTTCCATTCGAGGTTTTTAAATTATCCACCTACACCTTAGGGGGGTAATTCTAGGGACCAAAGACCAGAGATTGATTAACTGCGGGGAATTTCTCGTCCCTGTGAAAAAATTGTCCATGGACTTGCGTTAAATTCTCATGAATTCACTATAATTTAAGTTGATCTATTAACAGCCTATGGTTTTCCAGATTATCGAGCCTTAAATTTTGGACTGAAAATCCAGGGATCACCTTAGGTTATTAAACCAGGGAAGTTTTTACCCCAATTTAAGGAAGTGTAGTGGAAATCCGAGAAAGTTCAAATGGAAAGAGATTGTTTTCAAGGGAACCCTGAGGAAATATGATGGGAAATTATTCAGGAAATTTCAAAGAAAATACGGAAAATATTTATCGATGATAGAGATACTTCCTATGCAACATTTGTGAGGATTTTACCCTCACCTCCCTTTTTTTTATCTTTGTCTTCATTCTCTTAACAAGAAGTTATACTCTTGCAAGTTAAAGGTTAATCTTTTTATTTGTCACTCATTTGTAAAACGTCATTTAACAAGTGAAAACATAAACAACGAAAATTAATTTTTACCAGTTACTGGCTCTACTGACTTGTTAAATTGACAGCTAAACTGTAAAAACTTTTTATTTTCAACCACATATGTAATGTTGACATTGCAGGTTTTTCAAAATCTTGAAAGTGTCACATTTCTGGACTTTGACATTTATCGGGACGGTAATGCATATGCCTGCCTAGGACGGAAAAGCATTTTCCGTCCGGGACGGCAAATGCTTTTCCGTCCCCATTTCCCTGCTCGTTCCAAATTGATAATTTTCATACAGCTCTCACATATAATAATAAAACCACATGTATTACATGGAACTAATTAAATCTATTCACTTATTTACATTAATTGTTAAATTAGCATTGTTGTTTATAATGGAAATCTTGAGACCATCCTGTTGGAATTGTGTTTCGTTTGGAACTATTATCTCTTGCGCTTGCGGATGAGTTTCCGCATGTGATGTACTTGTGGATGCACTGGACAACTGAATACCTTTGGAAGTAGAGGATAGCATCAGAGCAGTCTTACTTTTGTTCTCCAAAGATGCCTCTATGTAGCCTTCAGCAACCGTGCTCGATTTCCACCCTCCCAGTCTTTTGAGTTGCAATAGATCGGCCCCGTTGTCAACCAATAAGGTTGCGGAAGTACGACGAAAAGCATGCCCTGTAAAAGTTTCAATTTTTGGAAGCTTCAAAAAAGCAGCTATTTTATGTGGAAATTTTGAGATTGAATGATAGCCAATTGCTTGGTTATGTAATTTCCCATTTCGCCATTGAACAAATAACCTGTCATTTTTCAAATTTTTCCGCAAAGTGAGGTATTTGTGGAAAATAGCAACCCAATCTGGATCGCTTATGATAAACGATCGACTTGTGTAAGTTTTTGTGTGTGGAATTTCTATAGCGATCTTTCCTTCCAATACGTTGACGTGCTCCATTTTCATCTTGACTAGTTCATCGCTCCTACATGCACCCGACACACCAACAATTAGCGCTACCTGAAACCAGATAAAAATAAAATGGGTAACCTAGCTATAGCATACAGAAAATCATTTTGATTTTCGCATTTTTATCTTCTTTGTATATTTTTTGAAAACCTACCTTGATGCTAATGAATTCTTCAGCTGCCTTCGTGAGGAACTCGTTAATGTTTTCTCTGGAAAAAACGCTCGACTTTTTCGGCTGAAAGCCCAGATTTTGCCGCTTCAAAAAAGCTATAAGTTTTGCGTAATTGGAGATATCAACTTTCTCTTTCAATTTAATCATGGTTTTCAACATACTGTAAGTCGACCATAAAGTCGAAGGCTTCTTTTCCTTAGATAATTCGCCAAAATACGCCAACAAAACGGTCTCCGAGGCAGTATTTCTCGTTCCTTTCTGGCTACACCATGCTTCGAATATTTGAAAAGCCTTTTCGTACCGAAATTTGCTTTTTGCTGGAAGCAAACTCTCTCCAATCCTGTCTGCTGCTTCTTTTAATTCAGGTGGGGTACAATCCATCGCTTCATCTTCACTTTCCGAAATCATTTCTTTGGGGAGAACGGGGAGAAATCTAGTGAAAATCTATTATTTCCGCAAAAATACTGAGCGAAAACTACCGTCGTTAAGGCGTTGTTGATCTTATCTATGGTTGTTGATTTTGCGGTTTCCTGTGGTTTCGTCTTTTGTTTTGGCCTTTACAGGGCCTTTGAGATCGTCAAAATTGATGACATTGACAAAAAAAGTGAAATATTTTTTTCTAAGGCCAGTTTTACACTATATGAAAATTTCGTATAACAGAATCTTTAGTTTTTGCATCAGAAAATTAAGGGTTGAAAATAAAAAAGTATACAAACCTCGACGGAAAACTTCATTTCTGTCTCGAGGTTGAGTTTATCTCGACGCTTCGCGTCTCGATAAACTATAATAACCTCTCGACCAGCAATGAAGTATTTTCCGTCTCGGATTGTAATATACTATTACAAGTCAGTAGGGTCAGAGAATTATTTATTAAAATTGTATTACCTATATGTATTAATTTTTTATTAATTGTTTAAGATTGTTTACAAATGAGTAACAAATAAATTATTGTACATCATACGCCAGGTATCAATTTTTACTGGCTCTTGAAGGTGACAAGCTCGCCTGACGGCTCGCTAGTCATTTGTGGCTAGTCATTTCCTTCAATCACCAGTAAAAACTGTTTTACCTGGCTAATAATGTAAAATACTATACCCAGATTTGCCTTGTTTCAAGTAAAGTTATTTTCAAAGAAGTTGTTAGAAATCCGGATTAGGTATGAGTGAAAGGAAGTTCAAACTGTAGAATTCTAAGGCAGAAATGTTGAAGTTTGAAGAATTGCTCTGGAAACTGGAAGAAGTTCAATAGATCATATAGAATCTACATATCCATAAAGACGAAGTGAAAAACCAGATACTTTCCATGTTGGATCAAGGAATTATCAACCCAAGCCAGTCATCTTAGTCTTCCCCGATATGGATAATTCCAAAAAAACCAAACGCCTCCGATAAAATAAAATAGCGGATAGTAGTGGACTATAGGAAAGTAAACGAGAAAACTATCGACAATAAATACCCAATCCCAAACATAACAGACATCTTGGATAAACTTGGTAGATGCCAGTATTTCACGACCTTGGATCTGGCAAGTGGTTTTCACCAAATCGAAATGGCTAACTATGTAAAACTACTTTCAATGTCAAAAATGGCCATTATGAGTATGACCGGATGCCGTTTGGCCTAAAAAACGCTCCAGCTACGTTCCAGAGGGTAATGGATAACGTTTTGAAAGGCCTCCAAGGAGTGTACATGGATAATATTATTGTATGCAGCACATCACTTTAAGAGCATCTGGTTTATCTTTCAAAAATCTTCCAGAGAAACCGGATTCAAAATTCAAATGGATAAAAGCGAGTTCCTAAAAAAAGAAGTTGCCTTTCTTAGACATATTGTATCACCAGAAGGAATAAGACCAAATCCGGCCAAAATTAAAGCCATACTTGACTACGCAATTTCTAGGCCTCCTTGGATATTACAGGAATTTTATCAAGCACTGACAAATTAACCTCTTCTGCAATATTCAGACTTCAGCAAGTCTTTTAATCAAAGACTAAACGAAATCGATAAGCCTATTGCATATACGCGTCCAGGACACTCAACGAAACTGAGTTGAAATATTCCACCATTTAAAAGGAAATGTTAGCCATAATCTTGGCCACCAAGTACTCTAGACCCCACTTGTTTGGGAGAAAGGTCAAGATACTTTCAGATCACCGTCCTCTCCAATGGCATTTTTCCGTGAAGATAGTTCCAATAGACACATAAGATATCTATCCATTATACCTACTATCCCTGATAACCCACAATCCAAAGGGATGACAGAAAGATTGAAAGATTCCACTCCATCATTATTGAACACCTGAAATGAAAATCCTTAAGCATTAAAGAACAAAATGCCATATGCACTTTTCGGATACAATGATTCTATTCAAAATGACAAACAGGCGATCAATGAATATTTTAACTGACCACCTGAATGCGCAGGATCCGTTTCACGTTGACGTCAGGAAAATAATTATACCCAGCAACACAGGAAAAAAACGAAGACTATCAGGAAATTGAATCAAAAGTTAGATGAATCCAAAGAAAATTACATAGGAAACATAATTAGGCAAACCCCCCTCACCTACAAATTTAACACGAAGATCTACACCAGGAAAACTGTAAAGCGGAACAAATTACTTCCAAGATTCTCTTCCAAGACAGTTAACACTGACAATATTGTAACCATTGACACTCAAGACACGACAATACATAAAAAAGAATAATAAAAATTTTCCAGGAAATAACTCTAGAAATTCCTTACAGATGTCCTGATCCAGGACCTGAATGACATCCCAGGAATGCTTCTCCTCATTGATCCTTAATTGCTGGCAAATGTTTTATGACCAATATTTTTGAAAACTTACTTTCTATACATATAATAAAATAATAAAAATAGGAAAACAAAAAAATAAAAAATATATATAAACCAAAATTCCTATCAACTATTAACTGAACAAAAACATATTACATATAGAAATAATTTGATTAAACAAGAAAAAATAGCAAATTAATAACAAAGTTAAACTATGCAGATAACAAATAAATAAATATAATCATTTAATAGGTGGATTAATTAGGAAAAAAAAAATATAAAAGAAGGATTGACTGAAGAAGAACAAGAAGAAGAGAAAATTTAAAATCCTTCATATAGCAAATTTTTATTAAAAAAATTAAATATTTTCCTTCTTTTGCACATACAATTGTGCCTCATAGAAATTATTGCTTAAAAACTTCTATAATAATTGTTTATGTCCCAATAACTTAATGAATATCAGACTTACAATAAAGAAATACAAACAACTAATAATTACCTAGTTTTACAATACAATAATAAGCTAAAATACAACATTTTGTTGAATACAAGAAATAAACAAAACAAACAATTATCCATTTAAATAATTTTATGCTCGAGTTTCTCTATTCTCTTGAGATTTTCTATAACGGCATTGTGTTCGTCGAGCAATTTCCAAAATTCGTGTTTCCTGTGCTCGGCTTCCTCCTGTAATATTTACGCTGATTGAATACTACGGGCAAATTGAAAATTGAATATATTTACCAGCATTTTTTTGATTGACGCATCTGAATAGGATCTGGTATAAATTCTAGGCGTCGGTCCTGTTGAATGGCTATTTTGCCTTTTCGGTTCTTTGTTCGATGAGTCGAAATCGTCTACTATGATGCTAGAAATTGAGAAGTTTTTGTTTTATTGTTTTTATGGTATTATAAAACAAAAAGCATTATAAATGGCTATTTCTTTGAGAAAGTCAAAAGTTTTATGGTGTCTGGATTTGATTATCTTCACGTTTCCTTATTTTGGTTTTATTAGTTTGTTGGCCCTGCGCCTGTGATTTATGTCTAATGGAATTAGTTTTGGGGTAGTTTAGGGTCTTTGTCTATGAAAATTAGTTTTATTTAATTTGTTTTTTTTCAGAGTTTTTCAGGCAAGGGGCTGAAAAGAATGAAAAGATTACATACTCCAGTTATATTAGGCCAGAAAAAGCAGCATCCGCTGAATAAATCCGAGTGAGCCTAAATTTTGTCTATACCTTTATTTTACCTCAAGAAATAATGTCTTAAGTCCCCATCAATATCGCGCTTGCGTTTTCAGATATTCAAGGTCAAAAGTCATGAACGTCATTCAATTTCCCAATATTTTTAGCCAAAATAGTCGTAGGACATACCGAAAGCAAAATATTTAAGAAAAACTCATTTCTGTAATATTTGACCTTGAATATCTTGGAACGCAAACATGATATCGGTGGGGACTTTTAATACATTGATTATTGAGGTAAAATAAAGGTGTAGACAAAATTTAGGCTCACTCGGATTTTTTCAGTAGATGAATCTTTGTATGACTGTACTAAGAATACATTTTTAATATAGCAGTTCTTTGAATCTAGAGTCATGATTGCCTTTAGGAAAATCACCTACCCAGTAGATCAAGAGCCGCTAAAAATCAAAATTCAAATTATCCTCGGCTCTTGAATTATTGTTTTCAAAGAATTTTTCTATGAATTCAAAAGCCGATAACAATCAAAATTTGCAACTTTTGACTTGTTGAATAATTTTCCTAAAGAAATCAATATCCATTAATAATAAAATTTTTTGTTTCATTCAGTATTTTCGTTCAATAAAATCTGGACCAGAGCCAAAGTTTTTTCTGTTCGACGTAAATCGCATACCGATCAATTTGTTACACGCAAATTCAAATAATTTTTTTGGTCTACAAGAGGATGTTTTATGTACAACGTACATACGTATGATAGATCGTATGAAAATAAATAGGAAAATTTTATTTGTTTATGTGATTCGCTAATTTCTGTTTATTGCTTCGATGAATAAACGTATAGTTTCGATCATTTTTAAAGTTGAGACAAAGGAAATGAAGATTATCGTCGTATCTTCCGAGATGAACATTTTACCTTTTGCTTTTAGTAGGTACTTATGTATATAAATTTACTTATAAGAGAAATCCAGACAATTTTGCATATTATAAACTTATTTCATTTGAACTTTCTTCTTAGATTTCCTTATTATTTTTTCAGTTTCTTTCAATAATCCTCCATTCTTTTTAATTGTTTTTAGACGTGTATAAATTGAACTTCCACGTATTTATTAATCTATGTCATGTTACAAACCCCCTGTATGTACTTGAACAATAACTTATTATATAAAGTCAAAATTTGTAAGATTATCCACTTGTTGTCAATTTGCCTTTTAACAAGAATTAGTAATGTTACTTTACCGAAATAGTAATATAATGTGACAAGTTATTCAAGTACAAACGAGTGGATTATTGCGGAACTTATTATATGGGTGGACCTCTGCGGGACGAGCGTAGGTACCTGACTCACTCAAATGTGAGTTATTCTTATTAGTTTAAAAGCTACACGTTTCAGGTGAATGTCTTGAACAGTTCAACAGTATATTGGTGATTAGATGGCTGCGGAACTCGCTGCGCTCGTCCCGCAGAGGTCCACCCATAAGTTCCGAAACAATCCACTTATTTGTACTTGAACAATAACTTATTATATAAAGTCAGAATTTATAAGATTATTAACTTTTTCTCAATTTGCCTTTTAACAGGAATTAGTAATGTTACTTTACCAAACTAGTATTATATTATGTTGACTGAAAGTAGAGCAATTCTTATTTATGGTTGATGACGTTGGTCAGCATGTCCTCTAGCCTCTAGCAACATTGATATTATGTGCTAACTTCAAGTTGCTTGTAAAACACAACAGCTGACATTGACAATATGGTCAGGTGTTGTAGGTTATGTTTTTACCAGTCCTAATACAACGTATTCTTGGAATCCTTTTTGAGTTGTTGTTCACCTTACTATTTATTAAAGTGCTACTAAAATCGTCCTAGTCTTTTCACTAAATACCTCTGGAGTTTACAGGTTATGGGCCCAGAGCGTTGGTTGTTTTGTATTTAGTGAAAAAGGCGGTTTTTGAGTTGGTAAAAGTAGTGGCGTCAGGTGGTCAAAAAGGCAGAAAAAGAAAAATTCATTGAAAAAGCGTATAAAAAACTTGGAAAAATGTCGACTGGAAGTGGAAACACCATTGCAGTAAAGCCTTTCGATGGAAATGGGTACGGAAATTGGGAGTTCAGGGTATAATTACTTCTTGAGCATCATGAAGTACTGAATGTAATTTCCGAGGAAGCCCCAACAGATGCTACTTTACTGGTACCATGGAAAAAGAAAGATCTTCGAGCTAGAAACCTAATAGTAAACTGTTTGAGCGACAATGTTCTCGAGATGATCAAAAGTAAGACAACTGCTAAACAAATTATGGAAACCCTTAGTCAAACATATGTTAAAATTGGTATTGCATCTCAAGTTGAGTTACAACGTAAACTAAGGAACATGCAATTCAACAGCAGTAAAGTCTCACTAAATGAATACATTGTGGACTTTGAAAAGACAGTGGCAGAGTTGAAAAATGCAGGTGGCAAAATTGATGACTCTGAAATTGTTTCACAGTTATTAGCATCTATTGCTGATCCACAATTTCAAAGTGTAATAGCAGCAATGGACATTTTGTTCTCACAAGGCAGCAATACTATAACCTTGGCCTTTGTTAAAAGCAAATTATTTGCAGAAGAGCAGCGTCACAAGGTAGTGCAAGTACCAGAACCTGGAGTGGCTAGCAGCAGTGCTTTCTTTAGTAGCAATAAACAAAAATCAAAATTTATGTTTAAGTGTTATCACTGTAAAAAACGGGGACACAAAAAGGCAGACTGTCGTCTTCTTAAAAAGTATGGCAACGCAAATGCAACCGAAAAAGAGGAAAATGAGGTAACCTTTATATCTTGCTTATCCAATCATGAAATCTCAAGCTCAGAAACCAATATTAAGTTTGTGGTGGATTCTGGATGCACAAATCATTTGGCCACAAACAATCTCCAACAATATCTTGTAGATAAAAGAGATGTTAATTACTGTATAAAGGTTGCCAAGGAAGGTCATAGTGTGCAAGCTAAACTTAAGGGCACTTTACACTTACAAACAGCAAAAGGTCTTAAAGTTAAATTAGAAAATGTGCTGATTTGTGACAATTTAACTCACAATTTATTGTCTGTTAAGAAAATTGAGTCCAAAGGTTTGAAAATAGTTTTTCAAAATGGTAAAGTGGCCATAAAACAAAACAATGATTGTTTATTAACAACCGGAGAGTTAGAAGGAGGTTTATATGTTTTAAACCTAGAAATTGTTTTTGGATATGTAAAGCATGGATTAGTGATTGTACTGTTTTACTATATAGGTAAATATATGTATACTTTTTTTCTTTTTAAATGTTTTATTATAGTATAATTATTGTTATATAATGTGTAGTAGATAACAATAGTACTGTTGCATAAATATTAGATTTATTATGGTCGATACCAGTATTTTAAATACTGTTTAGATTACAAAGATGGATATAATTGTTATTATTGTTATACTTATGAATGAATAAACGATTTCAAAAAAAAAAATCCCTAGAATTGAAGCAAATATAACTTCAATGAATGAAAAAGACCTGTGGCATAAAAGAATGGGTCATTCTTCAAAGTTTCCTCCGTCATCACTATGTGAAACATGTTTACAAGGTAAACAGACAAGAAAACCCTTCAAAAATCTGTCAGAAGAAAGAAAAGCCAAACATGTAATTGAATGTATCTCAAGTGATGTGTGTGGACCACTGAATCCAGTCTCTCACAATGGTAATAGGTACTTTGTCACCTTCATTGATCATTATTCGTATTTTGGTACAGTATATTTCATGCAAAATAAAAATGAAGCTTTTCTAAAGTTTAAAGAGTATTTGGCATTTATACAAAACAAGTTTAAGACTTTGCCTGAACGAATCAGGTGTGACAACGGAGGAGAATACGTTGCACATGAGTTCAAAAACTTTTGCAAACAAAAAGGCATAAAGTTGGAGTATAGTATACCAAGAACTCCCGAACCTAATGGAGTTGCTGAAAGATACAATCGTACCCTACTCGACAAAGCTCGATGTTTGATTTTTGAAAGCAACATGAACAAGTCTTTCTGGAAGGAAGCTGTTTCAACTTCAGCATATTTAATTAACCGTACACCCACCTCCACCCTGTCAGAAAATAAAACACCTGCTGAAGTATGGTACAAGCAAAAACCAGATCTGAAGAAAATAAAAATTTTTGGCTGTACATCATATGTACACATTCCTGCTGAAGATAGAAGAAGTAAATTGGATCCTAGAAGTAACAAAATGTATTTGGTTGGTTACACTGACAACGGCTATCATCTATGGAATTCCAATGAACAAAAGGTAATCTCAGCAAGAAATGTGGTATTTGATGAGACAAAACTGTTCAACACCAATACACAAATTTTTGGCGCCACCTCCTGGACTATTAGGACAAATTCATCAAATATAGCATAGCACTGTATTATAGGTTTAATATTCTCGAGGCCAGTGCTTCTATGTACTGATTAGAGAATTATTATTATGTAAGATATGTAATGTAAAAAAGAATACTGTAATAAAAACTTTCAAAAAAAAAAAAAAAAAAAAAAAATTAACACTGAACATCCGACAGTGATTTTTGACAGCCAAAATCAAGATAGTGACTGCAGCAGCAATTACTTGGATGAACAAGAAAATGCTGATGTTCAAGTGGAGCAGGAAGGCCAAGAAGAACAATT